TGCACTTGTGTCTTTGTGTTGCTATTACTCTGTTCTGACTCTCGTGACTCTCCTGGTATCTGATTCGGCTTGTGGCTTGACTATTCTTTGTATTCTCCTTTGATCTGACCCTCTGTTGCTGAACCCGGCTCGTGACCTGTGATTCTCGTCTGCTGTCCTGTACTGTTTTGTCCTGTTGTTGTTGACCCCGGCTTGTCTGACTACTCTTTTGTCTCTTCCACCAGCTACACGCCATTGGCGGTGGCCATTACCGCAGCTGAGGTGTCTCGGGGGCCGCGACCTGGTTCCTGGCTGCGTCAAGTCCATCCCCACCATCAGGGGCCCTGGTGAAGGGCAGCCTGGGACTTAGACTCCGTGCCCTGAGGGACTTCGGTCTGTGGGTGGTGGTTGTCGTCAGCCAGTGCGTTACATTGTTAGGCCTGCCTGTCCGTTCCTCAGCTCCTGCCCTGACAATTTTGCCACGTTTTCAGGATTAGAGCATTTTTACAGCAGAAAAATTCTTCTAGAAACCCACTAATTCTGGGGTTTTTTTTCCAGCCAAAAAACGCCGCTGCCAAAAAACGCTGATTACAGCCTATGTGTGCATGGACACATAGAATAACATGCTGGGGAGTTTACTGGCTGTAGAAAAAAAAGCAACAAAAGCCAAAAACAGCCGCTGTAAAAACATCCAGTGTGCATGAGGACTTAGGGTTAGGAACCTTTATGTTTTCAAAGTCGAATTCGGCTAATATGAAAATAAGACCATTCTGTTCATTTAGTGTGACTTTGATGTAACTTTACACTCTCTGGCACTCAAGTAGCATCAAACTCGCATCAAAGTAGTCTAGGAACCTTTATGTGGAAAGAAGAATAAAGCAACCTAATGCATGTACTCCTGCGCTGGACAGTGGACTCCACAATGTCAAAATCCTCACATGAGTAAGAAAGGAAAGCAAGCCTTGCTGCCCTGAATGGACCAGGGAAATCCAAAGAGAACTGTATATAAGAAACAAAAAGAGGGTGCACGGGCCTAGTGCAATACCTTTAAAAATGAGATTTATTATAAATACTCACAAGAGAAATAAAATCAAATGGAAAGCATGTCACAAAGGATGCAATGTGGTCCAAACCCCCTAGAAGTGGTCTGGTGGGGGACTGTAGACAGCTGGTGGCTGACACGTTTCGAGGTTGTACCGCTTCCTCAGAGCCAGTCCTTTGTGACATGCTTTCCATTTGATTTTATTTCTCTTGTGAGTATTTTACTATTTATAATAAATCTCATTTTTAAAGGTAATGCACTAGGCCCGTGCGCCCTCTCTTTGTTTCTTATATACAGGAAGCTTTATGTCTCCAAAGTGGCATGTTAGGGTTCAGGACTAGGGTTAAGCCGGCCAAACACGTATAGAGGAGCCATTAGCAAGTGTGACTTCCTGACCACTGAGACCACGAGGAGGTCCAGTGGTCTCTGATCTTTTACCACTGCCGGGTTAGTACAAAGTTTTTCGTTCTCATACTTACCTGTCTGCTGACTGGCTTATAGTGTATGTATGCACTTGTGACCCTGGCTGTGTGTGTTGCTCCAATAAAGTTTTGAACCTACCACACTATTGGCGTTCCCCTTTTTTCCTTGACTCTCCTGTTGGAGGGTTGCAGATCCACACCTTCCAGTGTTGGGGTACCTGGAACCAGAGGGGGGATCCCGGTCTACCTATCATTGGGGGCGAGAGGATCTCTGGATCTGGAGTTATTGCTACACCCAAGGTTGATGTTGGCGCTTAAGAGTGGGACCCAGGTGTTTTTCTGGAGCTGCATGACTGGCTGGTCTTCTGGATGATATTACACACAGGCGCATTTAAAATGTGCGGTCGGTGAGTGCGCATTTTTACTATCTGATTCCAGTCACCTAATGAGGAGAATTCCTGCACATATTTGATGTTATTACTGTGACAAAGATTATATGAACTATTTTATTAATTTTTAATAACTATATCACAGCGCTGCACTATATATATATAATATTTCTGACATGAGGTCCAGTGATCCCTTGAAGTGTTCCAGCTGCTGATTCTCTGAGCGCTCGCTATATTCACTATTGATTTACGTATAGATTTTCGTTCAAGAATTTTAATTTCCAGAATATTTGTTTGATTTTCTAATCGTTACATTCGAAATTACATTCATTTTAAAGTCTAATGTTAAAAGCAAAAGACAATTTTCGAACGACATTTGTATATTCGACGAATGTTCAAAGAGTTTCATACGACTTTTTTTACAAATATTCTCGTTCAAAAATCTACACGTCTATGGCCAGCTTTGGTGTTGAATGTTAGGGTTAAGCTGGCCATACATGTATAGATTTTCGTTTAAGAATTTTCGTTTCAAGAATATTCCTTTGATTTTCTACTTGTTAGTGAGGTCAAATCGATGTTCATTTTCAACAGCAGTGATGGGAAAATTCGAAGAGGCAGGAAGGCAAACTTTTCTCGGTCAAACAAATTTTTGGCGAATGTATGTGGTTATCCTTTAGAAATTACATTCATTTTAAAATCGAATGTTAACCTTTTGGCGCCAGCCAAATGTTAATGTGCGGCCTCCCGGCATCTGGGCCTAGATGCCGAGCAGCCGCACATTTGCGTTCTATTAAAAAAAACATATGTGCTGAAAGCACACCCCTGGGCACTCCCAGCACACATGTCCGTTACTCATGGAAAGGTCCCGATCTCCTCTTTCGATCGGGACCTTTCCTGATCATGTGACCGCCATGAAAGCCTTTTTTTGATATTCAGCACTGCACTATTTAAACTGGTAATTGCGCAGTCATGCAATGCTGTACTTAAGCTAAATTTATGTCCTTTTTTCACACAAATATAGCTTTCTTTTTGTGTTATTTGATCACCTGTGCGCTTTTTATTTTTTGTGCTATCAACAAAAAAAGACCAAAAATTTTGAAAAAAAACTATATTTTTTTGCTTTCTGCTATAAAAAATATATATAGTAAATTCAAAGTTAGTCATACATTTAGGCCAAAATGTATTTTGCTACACGTCTTTGGTAAAAAAAAATCCCAATAAGTGTATATTGATTACTTTGTGTGAAAGTTATAGCGTCTACAAACTATGGTATAGATACTGCAATTTACGCCATTTTGTGCTATACAGCGCTGCGCTAGTTTTACTGACAATGCTGTATTGAAATGAAATTTATGTTCTTTTTTTTCACACAAATAGAGCTCTCTCTTGGTGGTATTTGATCACCTCTGGGGGGGCGAGGGTGCTTTTTTTTTAGTTATTTTGATTTTGAATTTACACTGTCCCTTTTTTTATCACTTTTAATGCTATCACATAGGGGCCATCCAATCCAACCACTGGCCACCCTAGGCCCCCATGCTTCGGCATATAGGCTTTTTTTTTAACTGCGGATGAAAATCTCATTCTACAGTGCTGAACACACCTGCTTATGTAAATTCTGAGAGCAATACCCTATTGCTGTCAGAATAAAACAAGTTGGTGCTGCAGCTGAATGGCATTCCTGCAAAGAAAACAGCATTGGTTAACAATAAAAGAGTAACTCAATAAAAAAACTTTTTTATTGAAATATGTGCCCAAAAATATTATAAAATATATATACCGAAGCATAGGGGCCATCCACCCACTGGCCACCCCAGGTTCCCATGCTTCGGCATATATGCTCTTTTTTAACTGTGGATGAAAAATCGTATTCAACATTAACTTATTTTTTTGGTTGTTTTCTTTTTTTTAGATAGCAAACATGTCTATACTTACCTGCTCTGTGCAATGATTTTGCCAGAACAACCCCGAACCTCTTGTTTTTGGATCCCCGTCGGCGCTCCTTCCCTTCAAACAGTGTTCCCAGGGAAAGCCCCTCGCCCTTAGGGCACTGCTACGTGCTAGTCCCCGAGCTGATGCTCTAGGACACATAGAGTCGGGGCTCGCCCCCCCCCCCCCGCTCTCTCCTCATTAGCTCACTGGCTGTGATTGACAGCAGCGGGAGCCCGCTGTCTCAGCCAAGGAGGAGGAAGAATCGCCAGACAGCAGAGGCTGTTGAGAACGTTGCTGGATCAGAGGGGGTTCAGGTAAGGATTGGGAGGGGGGGGCCTGGGACTGGGGCATCCGCTGCACACAGAAGGTTTTTTTACCTTCGTGCATAGAATACACAAAGGTAAAATACCTTGAGCCTTTAGAACTATTTTAAGTTCAGGTTACCAATGAACCAATTTTTACTTAGTTTGTTGGCACTTTTGACAGATTACATGTTGTTCCTGCTTAACTCATCTGAAGATGTGTTTGCATCTGTTTTGACAATTTTTGAGCAGAAAACGTGAGACAAAATGCTTGAAAAATTCTCATAAAAAAAGCTCATGTCTCGCTTTTTAGGTGTTTCCACTGAAGTATATGGGGACAAAAATGCTCAAATCTGCCTGAAAAGAACCTACAATTTTACAGGCAGTTTGCTACAAGCAACAGAATGCTCAGATGTGAACAAGACCTATTGAAAACAATAGTTTTTTTTTCTTGATGAGCGTTTTTGAGCTTAACCACTAGCCTACAGGGCACTTATACCCCCTTCCTGCCCAGGCCAATTTCCAGTTTTCAGCGCTGTCACATTTTGAATGACAATTGCGCGGTCATGCAACATTGTACCCATATGAAATTTTTATCACTTTTTTTGTGACAGAGCTTTATTTTGGTGGTATTTAATCACCTCTGGGTTTTTTTTATTTTTTCTTAAACAAACCAAAAACCACTGAAAAATTTGAAAAAAAAAACGTTTTTCCTTAGTTTTTGTTGTAAAATTTTGTAAATAAGTGATTTTTTCTCCTTCACTGATGTGTGCTAATGAGGCTGCAGTGATGTGCACTGACAGGCTGCACTGATGGACACTGATAGATGGCACTGATGAGGAGGAACTGGTAGGTGGCACTGATGGGCATTGACAGGCATCACTAATGGGCACTGAAAGGCAGCACTCGTATATGGCACTGATAGGTGGCACTGATAGGCAGCACTGACTGTCACTGATAGGCGGTACTGACTGGCACTGTTAGGTGGCACTGACTGTCACTGTTAGGCGGCACTGATAGGCAGCACCGACGGGCACTGATAGGTGGCATTGATACACACTGATAGGCGGCACTGATAGGCAGCACTGACTGGCATTGATAGGTAGCACTGACTGGCACTGATGGGTGACACTGAAAGGCAGCTCAGATGGGCGCTGATATGTGGCATTGATGTGGCACTGATGGGCACTGAAATGTGGCACTGATGGGCACTGGCAGGTGGCATGGATGAGCACTGAGAGCTGGTACTGATGGACACTGACATGTGGCGCTGCTGGGGCTACACAGATCATCAGGGCACACTGATCATCAGTGCTCTGATGATCTGTGTACATGTCCCCTCCAAGGAATGCTGATTACCGGCTCTCCTCACGAGCTGTCAGCGTGACAGCTCATGGGGAGAGAAATGCCAATAACTGGCATTTCCCTGTTTACATGTGATCAGCTGTGATTGGACACAGCTGATCACATGACCGAGCCGACATCTTCGGCTCTTTCTGTGGATCGGTGATCCGCTGTGTCCAAGGGAACCACCTTGCGTCATATTACTATAAGGCGGGCGAGAGGCGGTTAAACATCCCTTAAAGTATTCTCAATCACTGATCATATGATCCTGCAAATAATAAATCTATACTTTTATTGCACTGTCCCTAGTCCTCAGCATCCAACACTCCTTTTCTCCTTTACCTACAAGTGTGATTCTCACCTCTGCTTAAACCAGTAATATATTGCCAACAAAGCCACCAAGCTGCTTATCAAATCTTCTAAAAAAGGCACACTCTCCATTCTTACCTATGGAGAGTATGTACTTAATGCTCCAGCAATGTATTCACTCTCTATCAGATTGAATGTACTGCTCATGTCTGTGCCCAAAATAAAGGCTTTTGACAAGTGGCTGTGTGGGTGATATCTTGCTGGATCTAGGATAGGTGAGAATAAGACGACTTACTGGGGTCCAAGAGCAGTGCAATAAAAGTATAACTGCACTTACATATCCCTTCAGTATCCCATAAAGTTATTTGCAACAGAAAAACAGGACAAACTGGCACCTCAGCTGTTTTTTTAAATCAGGCAGTTAGTGGTTCCTAAAAGTCTACCTTGTAATATTTTTGTCCTATCATTTTTAGAATGTCTAAACTGAATGGAAAAGCATTTTGGTGGGGCCTCTTCCTTTCCTGAGGCCCTTTCCCCTGTTTTTCCTCATTCTTATCCTGCTTTTTTTTTATTTTGTTTTTTTAGTGCCAGTAGCCATCTTGCTGAGACGGTTCATCGTCTTCTGGCTTCTTGAGTGGCGCCAATATTTTGCTAATATATATAAGTATAGAACCAGCACCACAGAAATTGTATAAGACAAAAGTAAGCTGCAGAACCTAGCCTATAAACTTATAGGATATACAAAACTTAAAAAAAATAGGTTGCGCTTAATTACATACAAAAGTATAACAAAAAATGTGACAAAACAATAAAAAACAATATTTTAAATCAAAGTGAAATCCAGCAAAAAAGAAAAAAGTCCAAAAGTTCAAATAATCAATAATGTCCAAAATAATTAATCATCAAGTGAATCCCCCACCGTGAGGACGTCGATGACGAAAAGCTTAGGGCGGTGCTTTTGGATGTGACGTTCAGCACGCTCCTGGTCTGCTTGCACGTTGTATGTGCATGTTTAGCTGGGTCTGAGTCGCTTTTATTCATTACACATGCTGTCTATACTGGTGTCAGTCTGGACACCTTGCTTGTAAGTGCATCTCTTCATTAAAGTTTGATGTTTTTTAAAACATACTGCACCATGATTGTTCACTTTCTTCTTTCGAGTGACGGTCTGATCATCTCTCAGTTTGGATACTAAATCATCTTTGGAGTGGATTTTCAGCTTTGCAGAACATCATCTGTTGGAATTCATCCCTCATTTCTTCAGTGTTGCTGTCACCATATTAATTATTGCTCCCAGAGTAACAAGTGCTATATGCTGGTTTTTTCAACAATCAGCATATTACTCTGGTGAGTTTTTATTTAACCATTTTTGGTGGTGGATTCACTTGGTGATTAATTGTTTTGGACATTGATTATTTGAACTTTTGGACTTTTTTCTTTTTTGCTGGATTTCACTTTGATTTAAAATATTGTTTTTGATTGTTTTGTCACATTTTTTGTTACACTTTTGTCTGTATTTAAGCGCAGCCTATTTTTTTAAAAATATTTTGCTAATGTTGCCTCCCTGTCCTGGGGTGGGGCAGCGTTCTATTTTAATATCTATGGGCATACAAGCCCCTTTGGCCCTGGAATTGGTCTGTAGGTCATTTTCTTTTTATATACTGTATATACATGTATACATATACAGGTTGACCTTATGTGCTGTTCTGTGTATGATTTTACTATCCTCTGAGTAATTTTAGGATTAAGTATAGCTTTACTTCCTAGGTCTTCAACCATTGGGAGTCATACTTACCCTTGTTTTCCTATTTAAATGTTTTGAACTCAGGGCACCTTAATTTGGTTGAGTTTTTTTTTTTTTTATTGTCGGATATTTTTGTTCTCGATTTTTATGTAAATGGGGCCTGTTTGTATGTGGTGTCTCTGTTTTGGCCTTCTGCTACTCTTAATTGTCGACCCTGGTTCCTGTTTATTGTATTCTCTATATAATATTCCCTTTTTTTTTTCTTAATAAAAATATTGTGAAAGAAAAATCATACCTCCTATATAAAACAAACTATTATAAGTGAATTGAAAACAGCTGACACATAAAAAAAAGTGTATAGAAGCAGATAATAATTTTAGGCTTTCTATCTCGCCCATTTGATGGTGCCAATTACATTGACTCATACCAAATAATTAGAATTTATATTTCCCTGTTCTCACCCTGTTTTGTATGTTTATAAAAAATGTGACACTCTAGAAGTATGAAAGTAGAAATACAAATGGTAGCTATGGACATTTGCAAATAGACACTTTACTGTATGAAGAAAGGTCTGCTGATTGAAATAGAAGATCGGTAGCAGGTTTCAATAGAATTGCTTATATTCTAATAAACAGACATGTCCCCCCCCCCCCCCCCCCCCCCCCCCCCCCCCCCACACCCCCCACCCCCCCCAAAAGCCGAGTTGCTAAATATTTTCTTTTCACTTGAATGTAATGGAACAAACAAGAGTTGATGGGTTGTGTAATAATGCTGGATAACTATGACACACATACCACTTTGGTGGACTTGGTCCAGGAGAGATTAGACAAAATATAGCAAAAAATGTCTGCATGGAACAGATGGCTTATTTCAACACGTCCTCAAAAAATCCTAATTATTTTTAATCTTTTAAATTATTTTTCTTAATTTCTAAGACTCCTTAGTCACTTATATGAATAAGTGGATATGCACTTCAAAAGGACCGAGGCCACAGCCTAGTTACCACAGAAGAGTAAGGCCCTACAAATATGTACCCTGCTAATAGTTCACGTGCGTACAAAGTCAGACTTGCATATCAAACTAATGGTGGAAAACTCCTGCACTTAAACCTAAAAACCTTTGTCTAGTCTAAATAAATAACGGAAGCTGCTAGCATCCAATCATATACCCAAATGATTCAAGATATAAAAATACGGAAGTGATGCAGTGCTACTCTGATGATAATATTGATAATACTATGTAAATAAACATATAATAAAGTGTATAAAAGTGACGCAATGTGCAACAAACCCATAAACAGTGACCTGATCCTCCAGGGATCTATAATAAGTGAACTGATCCTAAATGGATCCTAGGTGTACACAGTTGAACTACTCAAATGATGGTAATTTCAGATTTACCAATACTGATCGTATGGTATAATTGTGCATACAACCAAAGTTAGAATCCAAAGTGATGGTGTAAACAGATCAAGCAAACAAATATATGAACTTAGCCCAAATCGGACTAAATGGTGATAGGTCCAAGATAAACTCAAGGAAACTCATGAAAAGTGCAAAATGTGCATAAACATAAAAAAATCCTTATCCCAAAAAATATAAAGTGTTTTCATACACAATCAATGTATACGCAAATCAATACTATAAATAAATGTGAACCTATATTATGCAAAACGCATGACTCCAAATAAAGTGGAAAACTAGTGAAAAAAAGTCCAAATTGTGGCACTATACCACTGTAATAGTGTACGTGGATGGTGTACGTGAGTAATTATTATTATTATTATTATTATACAGTATTTATAAAGCGCCAATAGTTCGCTCAGCGCTGTACATTACAAAGGGAGACAGAACATGTGACAGAACAATACCAATACAATGCAAAACATGAGCGGATCAAGGGCCCTGCTCTTTCGAGCTTACAATCTAGGAGGGAGGGGGTGGTGGCACAGGAGGAGATAGCTGTGGGGGATGGAGTGGTAGGAAGAGTGGAGGAGGTCGGCAAGTTAGCAGGGGGTGGGTAGGCTTCCCTGAAGAGATGGGTTTTCAGGTGCGCCTAAAGGAGAGGAGAGTAGGTGATAATCTAATGGGTTGGGGCAGGGAGTTCCAGAGGATGGGTGACACCCTGGAGAAGTCCTGGAGGGCGGGCATGGGAGGAGGAGACCAGGGAACTAGAGAGAAGGAGGTCTTGTGAGGAGCGGAGTGTGCGTGCTGGGCGGTACTTGGATATTAGGTCGGTGATGTAGTTCGGGGCAGTATGGTGGACAGCTTTGTACGTCAGCGTTAGGATTTTTGAATTTGATCCGTTGCGCAATCGGAAGCCAGTGGAGGGATTGGCAGAGGGGTGGTGGCGGAGACAGAGCGGTTGGAAAGGTGAATGAGTCTGGCAGCCGTATTCAGGATCGACTGAAGCGGGGATAGCCAGCGGCGAGGCAGGCCAGTGAGGAGGGAGTTGCAGTAGTCGAGTCGTGATATGATGAGGGAGTGGATGAGCTGTTTTAGTGGTTTCTGGGTTTAGGAACGTGCGGATTTTGGCGATGTTGCGGAGGTGGAGTCTGCACGAGTTTGTTAAAGATTGGACTTGGGGCTGGAAGGATAGGTTGGAGTCCAGATTGACACCCAGTACTCTGGCCTGCAGGGCGGGTTTGATGGTAGCGTTGTTGGATGTGACGGAGAAATCAATGGGGGGTGGTGTCCGGGCTGGGGGGGCAGTAAGACAAGAAACTCGGTTTTGGAGAGGTTCAAGAATTTTGGAAGGAAGTGGAGCGACATCCAGTCTGATATGTCGCTCAGTAGGTGTGTGATTCGGGCTGAGACCAAGGGGGTGAGGTGGGGGGTTGAGAGATAGATTTGTGTGTCGTCGGCATAGAGGTGGTAGTTGAAGCCCGTGAGAGTGTATGAGTTGGCCAAGGGGAGAGGTATAGATGGAGAAGAGAAGGGGCCCAAGGACAGAGCCTTGAGGGACCCCAACAGAGAGGGGGAGTGAGGGGGATAGGTCGGTTATAGCATTATAGGTAACGCTGAAGGAGCGTTTTGACAGGTAGGATGAGAGCCAGGAGAGAGCAGAATCTCTGAGGCCGAGGGCAGTGTAGTTTTTT